ATTGTTTACCTCAAGTCAAGATGAGGAATCTTGCTTCATTTACTTGCTTGTGAAAGTCATTGTCAGTATTCCAAATTGTAATTCTCTATTCTGACTGCACAAGTACAAAGAATTTCTAGTTTGTACTTAGAACCCGATCAAGTTTGTAAGGCGCCAGGAATCTGGGTTCAATTCCAGCTTCGGGCAACTGTCTGCGTGGAGCTTGCATGGTCTCCCCGTGTCTGTGTGGGTTTCCTCCTCGGTCCAAAGATGTGCAGGTTAGGTGGTTTTGGCCATGTTAAAATACCCGCAGTGTCCAGGGATGTGCTAGGTGGGTTTCCATAGGAAATACAGGGTTACAGGGTCTGGGTGGGGTGCTTTTCGGAGGGTTGATGTGGACTCAATGGGCTGAATGGCCTGCTTCCACACTGCAGGGATTCTTTGATTCCAATCTCAGATATTAGAGTATGAAGGGAATAAGGTGTTATTTTCAGTATTTCTTAACACATGAATTAAGGATTCTTTTCTAATTTTGTAATGCAGATGATTGTTGCAACATTATGAAGTTGATGTTTGATAGTTTTGTTAATGTTTACTGCGCAGGTTTTAACTTTCAATAGCAGTTCAAACGAGTTGTCCAAGTTAAGATAACAAACCAATTGCCTAAGAGATGATTTTGACAATTTGGTTTGTTTTAATTTGTAACGTATATATTATATATTTCACCCAAACAAACTACCTATTTATTTAAAAGATAAATTGCTACAGTCCTTCCAGACTTTGAGGGCGCTTTGTCATTAGAGAGAAAAACGCCTGGTAGGTCACCATGCTTCCAGTGAGGGACGCGGTTGAGAAGAGGAGTCCTTCAATGAAACCTCATCCAGTGCAGGAATTGAACCAGGCTAATGGCATCACGGCATTACAAACCAGCCATCTAAGCTAATTAGTCCCTAAGATCTACTGAATAGGTTGTCAATTTTTCTATTCAAGTACTGCATTTCAATGTTTAGAAATTCGGATATTTTAACTTAGACTTCGAGTATCTTAACTGCAGTGATACAGCAATAGTTCTATTCTGATTTATACTACAGTTTACCCTTCGAACGAGTGAAGGAACACCTAAACAGCAGCTTAGATTAGGGTGCATTGATAAAGTACACTTCTACTTAATTGTTAAAATGTTGTGATGTTTTGCCGTACACTCATTTACTATTTCTCCCAGCCTGAGTCAATGCATACAATCACTTTGCTTTAATTTGGCAAAGATATTTGGATGCCATTTCTACCCTTTATTCTTCTTATCCCCGTGGTTTCTTGAATTATATTTTATCCCCATCTAGTGGCTTTATTGAGAAGTTTCGTTTTGCAGTTTTTCCCCGCACCCACTCTCTGCTACCCTCTGTCCTGAAGGTTTGCATTTTTTGCCTCAAACTTGAGTTTAATCCTACTGGCATTGACATTTAAGTACAAACATTTTATGCAGTGATCCTGGTTAAGTGTTAAGCCTCAGCTGCATAGCTGGATAATTGGTATCATAGCTGCAACAAAAACAAATTCCTAGAAAAACTCAGCAAGTCTGGCAGCATCTGTGGAGAGAAAACAGGGTTAATGTTTTGTGTCTGGTGACCCTTCTTTAGAACTGATTCAGAAGAAGGGTCACTGGACCTGAAATGTTAATGTTGTTTTCTGTACACAGATGCTGCCTTACCTGCTGAATTTTTCCAGAAATTTCTATTTTTGTGAGATTTCCAGCATCTGCAGTTCTTTCATTTTGTTTTTGTTTAGTGGTATCATGGCTGAGCTGTTGTGTTTTGTTTGGAAAAGTCGTGGCAGAGTGGAGACCTTGCCAGTAGTTTCTCATGTATCTGCTGCCCTTGACCTTCTAGATGGTAGTGATCGTGAGTTTAAAGGTGTTGCCTCAGGAAGTTTGGTGTGTTCCTGCAGTGCATCTTGTACATGATGCATATTGCTGCAACTGTGCATCGGTGGGAAAGGAAGTGAATGCTTGAGGATGTGCTGCCAATCAAATGACTGCTTTGACCTGGATAGTAACAAACTCCTTGAGTGCTGTTGGACTGCAGTTATCTAGGAAAGTATTCCATATTCTGCCTTGTTGATGGTAAAAGTACTTTGGGGAATTAGAAGGTATACCCTCTCCCAGAGTATTACCTCTGAGCTGCTGTTGTAGCCACCGTATTTAGATTCCAGCACTGTTTCTGCTAATGTCAAGGATGATGTTTATATTCTCTCTTGTTGGAGATGTACCTTGCTGTTTTCAACTCTAGCCTGCATACTGTGAAGGTATTGCAGGTTGTTGGATATGGATTGGTTCAGTATCTGTGAATTGTGTAGACATCAACAAACATCCCTGTCTGAACTTACGATGGAACAAATCTCATTGCTGAAGCTGGTTGGGCCTAATACAACATCCTGAAGAACTCAAAAGATCTGGGTTCAAGTCCCACCTGCTCCACAGGTGTGAAATAACATCTCCAAACAGGTTGATTAGAAAGTATCTACTGTGATGTACTCCTCCTGCATAGATGTATGGAGCTCAGATGACTGACTTTCACTGACCACTACGTGCGCACACACCGCCCCTCACTTGACTAGGTCTGCTTTACATACTAGTTTGACTGGATGCCTAGCTTGCTTGTTATGCAGAGTGATGCCAACATTTTGTGTTAAATTCCTGTAACAGCTGAGGATACCATCGAAGGTCCCACCTCAACCTTGCCCTTTGCCTGAAGCATGTTGAATTCACCATCAGTTGTCTCTCTCCCGCTCCTTCTGCCTGAAAGAGCAGCCCTATGGTCACTTTACCTTTCTTTTAGTTTTTCTAGGCCTTGATGTGAAAGTTGGTCATATGTATCCTTGACATCAAAGGCAGACACTCTAACGTTGTTTTTGTCCATGTTTGAACCAATGCTGTATTGGGCTTTGGAGCTGGGGCCCTGGCAAAGCCAAACTGAGCATTAGTGAGCAATCTATTGCCAAGCAAGTGATGCTTGATAGCATAGTTGATGGTCCGTTCCATCACTTTACTGATCAAATGTGGACTTGTGGGCCAATAATTGGCTGGATTTGATTTGTCCTGCTTTTGTGTCCAGGATTTACCTGAGCAATTTTACAGAATGTTGGGTAGTTGCATGTAATGTAGTTGTACTAGAACAGCTTGGCAAGTTCAGGAGCACATCCTCAGTATTAGTGCCATAATGTTGGCAGTATCCAGTGTTTTCAGCCATTTCTTGATAACATGCAGTGAACCAAATTGACTGAAGACTGTGATTCCAGGGACTTCTGGGGGACCGCAACATGAATTGGTTTCAGCCTTCTCTTTTTGCACTGATTTGCTGAGCTACCCACTCATTAAGGGTGGAGATTTTGTGGAGCCACCTTCTCCATTGAGTTGTTTAATTGTCAACCAACAACTGGATATGACAGGACTGCAGAGCTCAGATCTAACCTCTTGGCTGTGGAATTGTTCAGCCCTGAGTAGCAATTGCTGCTTATGATGTTTGTAATGCATGTACTTGCGTCTTTTAGCTTGGGGCCCAGTTGGTTGGATAGTAGCTTGCAATGCAAAGTTATGCCAACAGCACGGGTTCCGCTCCTGCATTGGCTGAGGTTACAATGAAGGACACCCTCTCAACTTATCCCCTCACCTGAGGTGTGCTCACGCTCAGGTTAAACCACCAGCAGTCATCTTTATACAGAGAGCAGCCTCATGGTCTCTGGGACCATGGTGTCTTTACCAGCAACTCATTTTTTAGGAATGCTTGATGCTTCTCCTTACATGTCCTCAATTTTCATTGAACCAGGATTGCAGCTCTAAATTGGTAGTAATAGTTGAGTGAGGAATATGCCAGGCCACAAGCTTATAGATTGTTTCAGTACATTTGTAGCTGCTAACAGGCCAGTGTTGAGTTGTTAGAAGCCTATCCTGTTTAGCACAGTGACGCACCATGCAGCATAATGGAGGGCTATCACTATTGTGAAGACAGTGTTTCGTTTCGACAAAGACTGTATGGTGGTCACGCCTACCAGTACTGTTACGGAGATGTGACCACAGAAGGCAGATCGGAAAGGATGAAATCAAGTATGTTTTTAACCTCTCGTTAGTTTGTTTACCATCCAGCACAAAACCAGTCTAGCTACAATGTCCTTCCAGACTCGACCAACTTGATCAGTAATGATGCTGCCAAACCCACTCTTCGTGGTGGTCATTGAAGTCGCCCACCCAGAGTATATTCTGCACACTTGCTGTCCACTGTGCTTCCTCCAAGCTGTGCTTAACACAGGAATAGTGATTCCTTAGCTGAGCAACGGTTGTACATAGTAATCGGTAGGATTTTTTTGGCTCATGTTTGACCTAATGCCATGAGACCTTGAGGTCAGCAGTCTGTGTTGACAACTCCTTGGGAAGTTCTCTCCCAGCTGTATAAAATTGTGGTGCACCTCTACTGACAGTGGAACAAAACATAACTAGGAATTCTGGTGTTGTCTGGAATATTATATGGTACGGTATGATTCCGAAGTTGGTGCTTGACTAATCTGTGAGACAGTGCTCCCAAGTGTGGCATTAGCTCCAGATTTTTAGTCAGGAGGACTTTGCAGAGTCAATAGGGTAAGTTTGCCATTGTTCCTGATACCAAAGGTCCATGTAAGATGTTCCATCTGGTTTCATTCATTTGTTGAGCCATTTCTGCAGCTTGATGCAACTACTAGGCTTACAAGGCTTGCAAGGCTAAAGGTCTGAAGAAGTGTCATATCGAACTTGAAATATCAACCATGCTTTTCTTTGTGTAGATGCTACCTAACCTACTGAGTTTCTACAGCATTTTCTGTTTTTTTTTGCTTTAGTCTCTTGAGCTGGTTTCTTTCCTCCCCACCTGTGCACAGCTGTCTACCCACCACTCTTTACTGACAGCTGATTCATCAGTAGTCTAGGGATTCAATCTATCTGTCTGGTTCACCTAAACTTGCATAACGTGTGTTTTTTTAATTGTATTCCTGTATAGGGAGCTACGGTACGTAACGATGTGGAATCTGTCATTATCAGTCGTATTGTGAAGGGTGGTGCTGCAGAGAAGAGTGGTGTATTGCACGAAGGGGATGAAGTCCTTGAAATAAATGGGATTGAGATTCGTGGGAAGGATGTTAATGAGGTGTTTGATTTGCTGGTATGTGATTTGTTTCTAATATAAAGTTGCGTGGCTAGTCTTCCGTCAGTCTGATCCTTACAAAATACTTGTGTGGTTTTCATGTTTCTGATATTACAGAATTATATTGATATTTAGATACAGCTCAACATATTTTTTCTTTGTTATCTATACAGGCTGATATGCATGGTACACTGACATTTGTGTTGATTCCCAGTCAACAGACCAAGAATCCTCCTGCCAAAGAGATGGTGGTAAGTAAGCTATGTTTCAAGAAATATTAGAAGGTACTTGTACCGATTTTAAGTTAACAATTGTTTGACCATATCTTGTAGCTTCAGCAGATTAACTTGAATTTTACTAAATAGTTTTAATTTATTTTAGCCAATCAGTCCCATATGTCAACTTTTTCAAATTGAACAGATTTAACATGGAATATGTTCTTTGTATGGGCAAGATGAAATGATTTTCTCCCAGCTAGTGGTGGGGCGGGATTCAGGATTACGGCAATTTTTGTGCCATTACGATAAGTTATTAGAGTATCAGAATAGAAGCCCCTCTTTCAGTAAAAAACTAGAGTGGCTTGTCGTTACCCATAGAAAATTGTTCACTCTAAGTGAAAAGTTTCAAAGCTCTATGTACATAAAATTTTGTTGGAGTTTTTAAAGTTGCATTGATGAATTAGGGTTTAGTGCAATCCAGTGTCCACTATGTTAGAATCATAAGTATAATCTGTGTGGTATATGTGCTTGCAGAGAACTAATAAGCAAAATTTCCACTGACAAACTTAATAGAGCATGATCATAATTCTGAAGAAGAGTCAGTGGACCCAAAATGTTAACTCTAATTTCTCTCCACAGATGCTGCTTGATCTGAAATTTTCTAACAATTTCTGTTTTTGTTGTGATCATAATTTAAGTTTATTATGTTTTGTCATGTGAAATACTTTCAAACCCTGGGTGAGAAGTGCTGTGAGAGGGCCAAGCGCTTCCTCCTTGATTTGAAAAATAAATTATAGGAACTGTCAGGCAAATTGGTTAGGGATCTCTCCAAGTTTTGAATCCATTGTGATAATGGAAGTCGATAAGAGAAGGAAAGATTTCTTGTAAATTTTAAAAAAATGGAAAATGAGTAAATTTTGATGCATAGCAACTGTTTCTTCAGGTACATGTGAAAGCCCATTTTGATTACGACCCCTCAGATGATCCTTATATTCCCTGTCGTGAGCTGGGGCTGTCTTTCCAGAAAGGAGATGTGCTTCATGTGATAAGTCAAGAAGATCCCAACTGGTGGCAAGCTTACAGAGATGGAGATGAAGACAATCAGCCATTAGCTGGACTTATTCCAGGTAAGACGTTAGTATGCAGTGATTTTTAAACTATATGCTACATTTGTAAATCTCGGTTGTGAAAAGGGTTCCTTGGCATCAGTGACTGAAAAATGATTAGTGCAAAATAGTTAACTTGTCTCTGCGTTTTACTTGTTTTTGTTAAAATGCTGTTTTGTGAAAACAAAGTAAAAGATAAATTCTAGAGCTGATAGACACTTGGCTGTTCCAAAACTCGATCTAACCTTGAGCATAATACTGCCAATGCTAGAAATAGAATACAAAATCTGAAAATGCTGGAAATACAGGTCTGAAGAAAGAAGTAGAATTAACATTTCAAGTTGATTTTTTTTTTTCCCTTCCAGTGTAACACCCATTTATTATAAACTTCTTTTTGTTTTAATGGTTAGCAGCTTTTTAAAAAAAAAAAGTTCTGCTGTTCAGTCTGAGACAAATGTATATGTGAGCGTTTGTAAGTTTTTGTATTATTTCCCAGAAAGACATGGAATTTAATCAGAATCCTAAAGTCTTCTTTAGCTATATTATAAAGTTTAAGGCAAGCTCTTGGCCCAGTAACCACTTTGAATGTGAACTGCAGAGCAATACATTACCTGTCCAGGATCTGTGGTTTGGTTTTATTTTGAACGGCTTTAGTGTTATCCAGCCTGAAATTGCTTAAAGCATCCTAGTTTAAATATCAACCACTTTGCTATGAGACTTAAGGTGATGTACATCTGCACCCCTTGCCCTGTTGAATCCTGACAGTGAAGAAGCTCTGTTTTGTTGGTAACCTTTCCCAAAAATACAAAATCTGATTTTTGTCAACCTTGTTAGAAATAGCTGGCCTGAGTTTTGCAGTATCTTCACAGGTTGAACAGCACAAACAAGTCTTTCTGGTAACGTACTGTCAAAAAGATTAAATTCACCTTTTATCTAGCTTGCAATCCTGCTCCTCTGCTGCCTGGCCTGCTGTGTTCATCCAGCTCTACACCTTGTTATCCCAGATTCTCCAGCATCTGCAGTTTCTACTATCTCTTGCAATCAAGTATCTTACTTTTTACAGTAACCTTTATCCTTTTACGTACAAACAGGGAAAAGCTTCCAGCAACAAAGAGAAGCCATGAAACAAACCATTGAGGAAGACAAAGAGCCAGAGAAATCAGGTTAGGAGTGGCGTAAATTCAAAGTCCTGTTTATGTAACTTTAAAAAATGTAAACAAATGAAATCAAAATTGGGATTATTATAGAACAGTCATAAAAATATATTTGTGTTGTACTGTTGCCCATAAGTTATCTGTCAGGAAGAAAAATTAAAATACAATTCAAGTAACTCCATGGATAGCTGGTTAGACTTGCACAGTGAAGATCCAGCCCTAATGTGCTCCTTTAAAGTGGCAGCTATATACAACATTTTTTTTCCTGATTACGTGGTTAAGCCACTGGTTAGTGGTCACATTGTTTGGACAGGAAGCATGGTTGCGCAAATATGATGCGGTACTGATGACTATGGAACGGTCAGTTCTAGAGAGCAGTCTCAATGATAGAATGAAAAGTGCCAATCTCCCAATTCCATTCGAAACACTTTGAACTCAGAATTCTTCTGTGAAACATCAAGGTGACATTTGTGTGATATTTAGTAACGCTAAAAAAAAACTTCCTGCATTCCCTAGATAATTGATTTTTTTCAAAATTTTTCTTCATTTTAGGCTGTACTTGAAAGATGAATGCGCCAGTGCATTTTACAAATACAGTTAGCCATTGATTAATTGGCTGTTCTAAGATTTTTGCGATTAAACTTTTACAAATTTATGAAGTCCAGTTGCCCATTAATGCAGCAAATGAATTTGGCCTGTACAGCATTGTACAGTTTTGTCAAATTTAATTCCGCTTCGAAATACTGAACATAAATAGTTAAGAAATAGTTGGTAATATGTTATTAAGTAGCTAGGAAACTTAACTGCTCTTAGAATTGTCACTCTTTATGATTTCTGTTTTAGGTTGTCTTGTACGTGTGAACTGCTAATTGGGTAGATACCAGTCAGGCATTTAGAGAATTACTTCAGTTTTAAAAACACAACTTGATAGGCTGGTTAAAATAATCCTGAAGTCATTGCTACCTTGAAGTGGGCTGTTATTTTATGTAATTAAATATAGTTGTTTCTGTAACAATCAATAGAGTCATGAAGTATTTAGTATTAGGGTGGCAGGCCGAATGAAGCAATTTATATTGCAAAAATAAGAACTTTGTTTCATTAAAGCTTAAAAGTATTACCCTGGTTGGTGTCCATTGAATCATAGCATATTGTAATGTTCTAATTTATTACACAGCATTTGGTGTCCCAATTTAGTTACAAGTCATTATTAAATTACCAGTCTGAAATTTAGCTGAGTTGTAAAGGTAAGACGTTAACCATTAGCTATTTGAATCTTGTTTACTTCCAAATATCAATAAAGAATGCCTTAACAAAAGGCAAGGGAATCCTGAGCTTGCGTCTTTCAAATGATTGCTGTATTAGCAATGACGCAAAAGCCTTTAAAAGTTATGGTATCCCATTGGTGATGTAATCATTTTTCAGGCAGATAGGAAAGAATTCCTAATGAATCAAAAATACTGTATAATCAGTGACTGGTAAACAATTACAGATAATTAGTAAACAAAAAGGCAAGATTAGATTCGTACTCATGTAGTGAATCCTGATCATCTGGAATACTCTGATGTAAAGGGTGATGGTGGTAGATTCAACAGTAATTTTCAAAAGGGAATAGAATAAATATTTTAAGGGCAATAAGGTGGAGGTTGAAAATTAAACTAACATGGCAGCTTTTTGGAAGAGAACCTCAGCAGGTTTGGCAGCATCTGTGAGAAGAAAGCAGGTTTGCTGTTTCACTCGAGTGCTTCTTCATCTGAGCTGTTAGTAGCCCGGAAATCCTAGCTATAACAGAACAGATGAAGAGTCACTGGACTTGAAACGTTAACTCTACTGTCTTCCCACAGATTCTGCCAAAACTGCTGAATTTCTGCAGCAATTTCTGTTTCTGTAGATGCTGGAGATCTCCAACACTTCTTTGTTTTAATTTAGATTTTGAAAGAGTCAGTTCAGGCACTTTGGTTCAGAAAAATACTGTAATGAGAATTTCTAATTCTAACTTTGCCCACTCATAACACTGATTCTTGCATATTCTGTGTGAAAAGCTAGCCTTGGAATTTAAATACTTGGGACAGAATAACATCAGGCCTAAGTGTTTTTTTACTCCAGGTAAACTTTGGTGTGCTAAGAAAAATAAGAAGAAACGGAAGAAGGTGCTGTACAATGCAAATCGAAATGATGGTATGTATAAGAAATATGTCCAGTTTTAATATAAGAACCTTGATTTTGTGAACTTTACCACCATAGTGCAGCATTGCTGCACTATGTCTGAAGCTTGATAATTTTGCGTTGAAATGTGGTCAAGATGTGACAACATGTCAAACTTCAGTTCATGTGACAATTAATGTGCTCATTACCCAGCATTATCTGTGTCTCTTACTTGATTTTGTTAAAAAAAAATCACTGGAAGTGATTCACATATCTCTTCAGTCCTGCTGGAACAGAGTCATCTATTAATAAAACAGATCAGGCCGTTTTTTGCATCAGCTGACTCCTCATGCTGGCCTGTCTATACTGTGTTACTTCCATTGCTGTGAGGGGGAGAAAGGGCCCAGTTCAAACAGTTAAAAGCTTGAATGAGAGAGCTGAGTAAAAGGGTCAATATGTATAATGGTGCAATGCTAGTGACAAAAGAGAAACTATGAAAAGAATAGCAATAAAGGAAAGAGAAATAGTTAGGAATTTTAGGAAAGGTGCTAGAAAGTGACATATTGTAGAAATAAACAAAAAGACTATTAAGTAAACACATTAATGTAAAATTCAAAATGTTCTAAAGTGTGTATACTTGAACACTGTTGTCTCCCCCAAGGGTTTTCTTGTACTTCCAGCTGCCCTCTCAAAATCCCTTCCTTTTGCTTCCCCTTGCCTTTTTTATGTATGCCTTTGGAAATCATCAAGGAAAAATTGGGTAGGTGCAGGTATACTTACGAAAGACTGTTGTATTTCTGTTTTCCCCCAACAGACTATGATAACGATGAGATCTTGACCTATGAAGAAATGTCACTATATCACCAACCTGCAAGCAGAAAAAGGCCAATTGTTTTGATTGGTCCACCAAACTGTGGTCAGAATGAACTGAGGCAGAAATTGATGGAAAGAGAGGTTGATCGTTTTGCTCTAGCAGTACCTCGTAAGTTATCTGAACCATCTTGCTTTAACTGTATCCAGTGGTATGTTTTCTGTCTCACTCATTTCTTTGCATTTGTAGATACAACGCGTTCTATGAGAGATGAAGAAGTAAATGGGCGTGATTACCTTTTTGTGTCACGGCAATTTTTTGAAGCAGACATGGCAACTAACAAATTCATTGAACATGGAGAATATGAAAAGAACCTGTATGGCACCAGTATTGATTCAGTGAGACAAGTGATCAATTCTGGAAAAATATGCCTATTAAATTTACATACCCAGGTAAGCAGCTAAAGCATAAGTTATGAAAGCAAAATATTACAGAAATCTAACATAAAATCATATAAAATGCTGGAAATACTCAATAGGCCTGGCAGTACTTATGAAAAAAGATTTAACATTCTAGGTTTGTGAGCATTTGTCTAAACTGGCAAGAGTTAGATATATTAATTGGATAAAGAGATTTTTGTCAACATTTAAGTAGGAGACAAATTGAATACTACTTAATGCTAGGTATTTTACAGTTAAGTAATTATACAGTTCAAGTACAATTCCTCAATGAGTTAATGAAGTGAAATGAAGAGACAAAATTATTTCTACAAATCAAGCAAGGAAAAGGAGAAGAGGTTCATTGTACAAATGTTGATCTTATAAAAACATGAAAATATAATGAGTGGTTAATATAGGCCAAGGAAAAAGAGCAGTTACAATGGCAACATGCAATAATAAAAGCAAAACTTTCAGTTCTGCAAAAAAAATCTCTCTAAGAAGTGAGATTTAAAGACGAAAATAAATTGGGATCTGATGATGGATGTAAATTAGGAAATATTCTGAATGACACCTTTCCTTGTGAATACTTTGGGTAAGTAATGAACACCAATTCCTCTCTGGGGCGGGGGAAGAGAATGAACAAAGCAAAATTCAAGATTTTGATGTCCAGTAAAAATTGAAATAAATGACAAGAGTTGGTAATGATACTCGAGTTTGAGACTGGCAAAGAGATTAGTGAAATGCTGCCAATCGTTCAAGGAATCAGTGGAGATGTAAAATGCTGAGAGTTTGCAAATAGTTCCCATACTCAAACTGAGGAAATTATAGATCCAAGAGTCTATCATCAATTCTGTGAAATAGTGGAATGACTTTCATGAGCCAACTAGAGGCAGAACCTCAGCAAAAGCTAATCCATCATGTGAATTGTCTGAGTCATGAGGAAAAATAAGAGACCCTTGTGCTATATAGCAACGAAACAAGTAGCTGCAACGTAATGTTACGTTAAAGGTATGCACGCTAACAAATGAAAGGATTATAAAACTGTTAATGTGACACTGATTCAAAAACTGAAAGAGACAAAAAGGTAACTATAGGCTAATTAGCTTAGCATCTTTTGTTGGAAAAGTATTGGTATCAATTATTATGGAAGGATTGGCAGAATATCTGGAAAATCATATTTTAATCAAGCAGAGTCACTATGGCTTCGTGAAAGGGAAGTAGTGTCTGTGTGAGTTTTGAGTAAGTCTCAGAGTGGAAAGAGGGGAACTAGTAGATGTATTGTTTGGACTTCTAGAAGGCATTAGACAAGATACCTGAAAAGGTTAAGTCATAAGATGTGAGCCACTATATTAGAGGTGGTAAATTGGCACAGTGAAAATTTATTAATGGGCAGGAAACAATGAGTTGGGGTTGAGAGTTCTTTTTCAGGTTGGTGACTCGTGTCCAGTGAGTTTTCACAGGAATCAGGGCTGGGACTGCAACTATATAATACATTAATGACTTGGAGGAACAAAGTGAACATACTGTAGCCAAATTTGCATCAACACAAAAATAGATGGAAAGGCAGGTTATGAGAGAGAGAGAGAGAGAGAGACAAACAGCTTAGAGATATTAGGTAGGTTATGTAAGTAGGCAAAAGGAATATAATATGGGAAAATGTGAGGTCATTCCTTGAGAAGGGAGAACAACACAGTATTATTTAACTGAAGAAAAACCGCAGAAAGCTGCAACACAAAAGGACTTGTGGGTATTTGTATATGAAACACAAAGCTTGCACATAGGTGCAGCAGATATTAGGAAGACTAATGGAATGTTGGCCCTTATTTCAAAGGGGTTGGTGTGTAAGTGTAGGGAAGTCTTACTGCAACTGTACAGGTGCTGGTGAGACCACATTTGGAGTACTGCGCACATTTTAGGTCCACTTATCTGAGGAAAGACATTATTTCATTGGAGGTGGTTCAAAGACGGTTCACTGGGATGATCCCTGATGTGTGGAGGATTATCCTATGAACAAAGGCTAATTAGGTTGGCGTTCTACTTGCTGAAGTTTAGAAGAACAAGAGGCAATCTCATTGAAACACATAGGATTCTTAAGTGGCTTGACATGGTGACTGCTGAGAGGATGTTTCCTCTCATGGGATAGTCTCAGACAAGAGGGCATCATCTCAGAATAAAGGGGTACCAATTTAAGACTGAGATGAGGAATTTCTTCTTAGGGTTTTGTGTTTTTGGAACTACTTGCTACCGAGTTGTGAAGGCAGAGTCCTTGTGTATAGTTAAAGGTGAGAGATTCTTGGTCAGTAGGGGAATTGAAGGTTATATGAAAAATGCAAGAAAATGGGTGTGGGGAATTTCAAATCAGCCATGATCTTATTGAATGGTGGTGCAAGCTCAATGGGCCGAATGGGGACACTTGCTGTGATATCGTATGGTCTTATAATTTAAATGGTGGGGCTAGGACAAAGGGGGTTCAAAACTGTGTAGGATAACTTTTCAACACGAAGATTTTAATGCAAAGTTTAATGAACATTTTGCATGGATTTTCTGGGAAAAGGTAGATGATGCGAATCCTCGAATCTCGTAAGTAGTAATTGAATGGAGCAATGGAAGGGAACGTTACATTGTCCTGGACAAATATATTCAGAAATGCTGAAAGGATTTCCTCAATCCATAAATGTCTTGCGCTCACCTGAAACTCAAACAAAATGAATAGCCTACTAACAGACAGTTAAGGTACATGTCAATCCATTATTGTTCCAAGTATGCTTTTGTCCTATATATAGGTAACTTGTATTGCATCTCATATCAGTAAATACATAGTCCCTTCAAAATACATTTAGTCCAAAGATAATTGTCACTTTTTATAGCCAGGCATGGAAGGGTAAATCGGCTCTCATTTCAACTGTATTGTTCAATTATATCGTTAGGACTCTCAACATGCTGAAATAAGTATGAGCAGAATTGTGTCATATCGATTATTTGCATGCAGGATCCTTTGAACCTTAATGTTTTATTTTGTTTTAACTTGCGTTGTCATCTGTAAAATGCCTTTTGTGTTAAATAAGGCACTTTTCTTTGGAACTTAAGTTTTGAGTCAATAAATACTGATTTAATTGCTTTTAAAAATACAGTATAACAGTCAAATAGTTTTGGAAGCTTATCTGATATAGGCAAAGCCAAGAAAACTAGAGAGATAGTAAAAACTGCAGATGCTGGAGTCGGATTAGTTTGGAGCTGGAGGAACACAGCAGGCGAGGCATCAGAGGAGTAGGAAAGTTGACGTTCCAGGTCAGGACCCTTCTTCAGAAGTGTTCCTCCAGCTCCACACTGTGTTGTTCAAGAAGACTATAGTTTATTACATCACTCTGTGGTCATTAAACTTGCAATGAACTTGCAAGACAGTAATAGAGAAGAAATTATAAGTCCAATAGCTAATTGCTAGTTCTCATACAAGATTTTACAAAACCCACAAAAGTAGCCAGTGGCCTCGTTCAAGGTTGAAACACAGGAGTTTGATCACTTTGGTCATAGAAGCGTAGACTAGTTAGAAATCAGGAGTATAAACATATGAATTAGGTGAAGAGCTAGGCCATTGGCCTGTCAAGCTTGCTCACCATTCATTGAGATCATTGATTTTTTTTGCTTTGAATTCCACATTCCTATCTACCTCTGATTTACTTTTGATTCCCCACCTAACAATAATCTATCCCTCTCCACATTAAAAATATATAATAACCCTCCCTCCAATGCATTCTGGTGCACAGCATTCAAAAAATAAGATAATCTTCTTAACTCTGTTCTAAAAAGGTGACCCCTAATCTTAAAACTGTGCTTTAATGTGTAGGCTCACCCAAAAAAGAAACAACATTTCCCCTGTTCACTTTATCAAAACCATTCAAGATGTTATACACTTGTCAGGTCACCACTTCATTCCTCTACACTTCAGGAGCAAGAAGCTCTATCTTACCTGGAATGAATGGATTTTCTTCAAGGAATCGGGCTAATAAACCTCTGAGCTGCTTCTAACACATTTACATGCATTTTTAAATAAGAGGACTAAAATAGTACACTGAGCTGTAGTCTTGCCTTTATAATTAAAACATAATATTCTCTTTTTAATATTCAATTCCCCTCAAAGTAAAGGATGGCATTCAGATAGCCTTCTTAATTACTTGCTTTAATTCAATGCTATCCTTTTGTGATTCCTGCATGAGAAGATATAATCCCTCTGCAAGTTGAAATTCTTCAGTCATTCTCCGGTTAGGTAATCCTCAGCTTTTTTTTTATTCTTTTTGCATTTTGTCACAGTATACCCTCATTTTGCAACCTTTTTCCCCAGCCACTCACTCAACCTGTATATATCAGTCAGCGACCTCCTCCTTATGTACTCTTCAGAAGTGTTTTCCTACCTGTTTTTAATGTCACTCAATTAGTCACCTCCTTAACTTTTTCTCATTATCCTGCACATTTCTTCTCCTTTAATGGTTATCCTGTCTTGCTGAAAGTTGCAATTAAATTTGCCTCTGCCATATACTGCCAGTGTGCTCCAGTTCCCGAACTCACTAAAACAAAGCTCCAAACTAATGCACCTATTATTCACTCCTTTTGGTCCTTTCCTAAAACACAGCCCTTAGTTTCAGCAGAGCCAATAGGTTCAAGCAGTACGTTTGTAAATTAGCTACAAGTGGCTTGCCTATGTGTTCCTCAATTTGGTGATTGTATTACTCCCGAAATATGTTGCAATTCACTAATGCACAGACAGCCATCTGTTGTTTACCACTTTAAATTTATAATCGATGGGAGAAATCTGGTCACAATTATTGACATAATCCTCAATCCTGGATCAAATTAATTTGAACTCTGCTGTTGTGGTTTCTGTATTTAAAAACAAAATAATGAATAAGTGCACTTGTTATGGAATATTGCTGTGCTCCATTTGGAACTAGAGAGCACTTGTACGGTTAGCTCTTGAATACAAGATTTTCAGCAAAGCCTATTCTTTTGGTTGCATTTCTTGAGTCGCATTAAGATGGAAAAACTGAAAAATACTCACTCAATCCCTTGACAACCAAGGAATAAATTGTTCTAAAATGTCATTCATTATTTTGTCCCAAAAAATCTGGTGTTATTTGTAGTTTTCGTTATGTTTTCTCATTGCTGCATTTGTTTTTTTTGTTCCCTAGTCGTTGAGAATTCTACGCAATTCAGATTTAAAACCTTATATAATCTTTATTGCACCACCTTCCCAGGAGAGATTGCGTGCAATGCTGGTCAAAGAGGGGAAAAATCCAAAGGTAATTTTTAAAACTTTTTGTGTTTTTGGGCATCATTGTAATCCTAAATAACATTAGACATAACATGATGTACACTTATTCAAAGAAGGCATTCTCAAGGTTGACTAGTTTAATTCAAGAGCAAGGGAATAACATTACTTATTCTTATGAGTTTTTTGGGACTTTTCTATTAAGAGTAACAGTATAGAATAACACACAATCAAAGGCTTTCACCTTAGTCTGCATTACAATTCTTAAAATTTCTTTCATTACTTTGAACTTTTTATCATTCATTACCTACTTTTAGTTAAAAGATTTCACTTCACTGCAAATGTGTAAATTATTCTCCATTTAATGTACAGTATTGAGGTTATAGATGAGGTGCTGGATGTTCATTATACAAGAATTTTTGTTAACTTTTTTTCAATTTGCTCAACCACTGTTTCACTTCCACCTTTACCTTATCCCTGGTAAATCATTCAGCTCAGAGGCATTGTTTGATTCAACTCCACACAGGGTTCGCATGTATAGTAATGACATAACTCTGCCTCGGTCCCACCTGTCTCAACTTGTTCACTGCGTCTATGTTGTCTAAAGGCTTATCTAATAACCTGATCTTGGTTGAGTTTCCTTGAGTTAAATATTCAGAGGAACAAAGTTCTTGGGCCCAAACGCTCACTCCAAACCTTTGCCACTGATTTCATCATTTTCCTTGTATGCTGCCTTAGATTCAGTTAGTCTGTGCTCAACCTCAGCTTCTGTTGCTTATCCTTATGCTTCAGCTCCCTTGCTGCTAAAACGCTGTTCTTTGTCTTACTCATTCTTTTGCTTTAAGTTACATCCTAACATTGCCCATTCCTAACTTCAGACCAACTGTTTCTCAAAAACTGTCTGAGGCTGAAGGGGGACCTTTAGAGGCTTATAAAATCATGAGGGGCATGGAGAGGATCAATAGCCAAGGTCTTTTTCCTAGGGTAGGGGAATTCAAAACTAGAAGGCACAGGTTTAAGGTGAGAGGGCGAAGATATAAAAGGAACCTAAGGTGCAACTTTTTCATGCAGACGGTGATGAGTGTATAGAATGAGCTGCCACAGGAAGTGATGGTGTGGGATACAATTAGAGCATTTCAAAGGCATCTGGATGGAAACATGAAGAGGAAGACCTTAAGAGGGATATGGGCCAAATGCTGGTAAAAGGAACTAGATCAGTTTAGGATATCTGGTCAGCAAAGATGAATTGGACTGAAGAATCTGTCTATAACTCTACATTTGTCCAATTGTTAGCTTTTGTGTGATATTTCCCTCTATTATTGACACTTGCATCTTCAGCCACCTAGAACCTATGCTCCAGAATTCTGTCTGAAAACTCTTCATTGTGGAACTGCTACAATTGCCTCAGACTGCCAATTCACCAAAACTTTCTTATATGGCTCAGCAACTATTATTCTCTGATTACTCTTCCACACAGTGTCTTTGAGTTTATTATATGAAAAATAAATTTAAATCCAGATTCTTGACAAAGTAGCTACTGCTAAGCCATAAACTGATTTAACAAGTCCTCATGATCTGAACAGCTTACTAGGCATAAAAATAATTCATAATATATTACACTTTGGGTGAGTGCTAGATTAGAAGTTTTACTGTCATTCCTTTCCCTAAAAGCAAGTCTCAAACTTTGTTATTTGCTGTGCAATTTTTATTGAGTGTGTTTAGAAATTGTAGGCAATTGTAGTTTAGCTGCAGTCAGTCCTCCTGCCAGTGGATTTGTGTGGAGCAACTTATTTTGTGAGCTGTTTGCTCATTGCACACTCCACTTAAAGTAATTTCCTTCTTTGCTGATGAAAGTCGGTTATTCCTAAGTTAGATTTAAATTCACTTAACGTTGTATTTTATATTTTTGTACTAGAGTGCAATTCCAAAGTTTATGGGTTGCCGATGTTACTGGGAGACAAGGAGAAGACAGTATTATTTGTTGGATGATACAGCTTTCCTCTACATGCCACAAAATCTAGATTGTTTAAACAAGGTGGACCGTGAGGAATTTCAGTTTTTTGCATGTTACTTCAAGATGCAAATCAATTAACATTCTTCCTGTAGAGAGAGAATTAATCAGCTTCATGTTGGAGCTGAAGACATGTTGTGCATGCTGATCTTGCCCTTGCTTAGAGTGTCATCGTGTTTCAGATGCTGGGATTTTTATTACTTTTCATCACACGCTGAGAACACTTGATTTAGAATGAGAGAACTTAAGCTTTGTTGTGCTTTATTATTTTCCATCCCATTTCTTTGGGGACCTTCTTGATAAGTTGAGAAATCTATTTCTCCCTGCCTTGGCATTGGTGTTCTCAACTATCTTGTCCAAGAGCATGCAGAGCGGTGACTGGATACCATGCAAGGCAGAAGGCTGCCTTATGCACTAGTTCCAATAGGTCATTTTCACATATATTTCTTCAAACCTACTTTCCTGCATGCCATCCTCTTTAGGAAGAGGGCAGTAGATGCCAAGCAAGTAGTAACTAAGCTGTGAGGGGATGGACCTGTGATAAATACTCAGGTATTGTTTAAAAAAAATCTGTATACGGGTGTGGTCATATTTATAATAGAATCTGTCAGTGTAATTCTGCAATGCTGTAACTACACACTCCAACCAAGAGTGGTACTAGAAGAATTTAACTTGGAAAAGTGGAACTTCTCCCCTCCCTCTTGTGTCACTTCAAGTGATTGCTGTACGTGGTTTCAGCTTCCGATGTGGAGAGCAGTGCCTTGGGAGAGCCATTCCACTATGCTGTTATGTAACAATGCAGCCGTAACACACCCTCCATCACATCTCATCTGTGTATTAAGATTCAACAACATCACCTGAAAGCATGTCAGTTTCCCTAAGTACTCAGGTGCCACACCAACACCATTCTAAATTCAGTGTTGTGATGGTTCCATGCCCATAAGAGAGAGATGTGTTCTGTCCTGTTTCTCGTAGAGAAGTGTTGCCACAGTGGTGTCAGAATGTCGTCTTCCAACAGGCAGTTGGTAAACAGCATTTGAGTTCTCCCTGGGTGTTTTTCTTGAAAAATGACAAAAGTGAATGGGGTCAGTGCTCTCCAGACCCAGGGAGGTTTTTAATTTTGCTTTCACTTAGTGAGAAGATCTGCCAGCTGCTGAACTAAAAGCTTGAGTTTCCTGCTACTAGAATCTTGGATAGCAAGGCTTCCTCTTAAAAATCATAAAGGGCAGATTGTTTGTTTCCTCTGGACTGGAGAGAGAGAGAGCATGAGAGAACTGTGACCGTTTTGCGGAATTGCATTTTTGCCAAAGGGTGTGTTTGTGGGATGATGCCAGTATTGGAACAGTTGATGATTAGTGATTAATCATATAGTATCTTGTTAAGGCTTGTGCCTGTTCTTCTTTTCATTTGTATTTTAACTGTGTTGTCGGAATACAGCTTATTTTGATTAAAGCCTAGTAGTGGCCTGATTGAATCACATCTGGAACACTGCACCTTACACTTGCCTTTAAATAAATCTATAAAAGTTAGAGTCTAGGCTATCCCCATCCAGTACTTTGGTTGGGGGTTGGTGGGATCTGGTCTGATCCACAACAACGGGCGAGTCTGATACCCAGTACAGAATGAGCAGAGACTTCAAATGTTGGGAAGATTGAAGCCATTTTTGGTCCCTGCAACAAATTCTATTCCCTAGACTTTGATTTCACTCCTATCCCTAACAAGCTTTTGAGTCTGCATCAGACTGTTCATAACCTTGGTGTCTTATTTGACTCCAAGATGAGCTTTTGACCTTATATTTGCAACGTCTCCGAAACATGCAGTTTCCGCCTTTTGTGGATTCACTCAGCTCCATCCCTGTCTCTGCTCATTTACTGCTGATACACTGAAGCCTTCATTAGAGACATAGAGTTGTAGAGTTCGGAAACAGACCCTTTCAGTCCAAATCATCCATGCCGACCAGATATCCTTAATAAATCTAGTCCCATTTGCCAACATTAGGCCCATATCCTTTTAAATCCTTCATATTAGTATACATCCAGATGCCTCTTAAATGTTGTAATTGTACTAGCCTCCACCTCTTCCTCTGGCAGCCCATTCCGTACACGCACCACCCTCTGCATGAAAAAGTTACCTCTTAGGTCCCTTTTTCTCTTTCTCCTGTCACCGTAATCCTAAGCCTCCTAGTTTTGATCTCACCCACTCTGGGGAAAAGACCTTGTTTATTCACCCTATCCATGTCCCTTTAATTTTATGAACCTCTCAGCCACCAATGTTCCAGGGAGAATAGCCCCAGCCTATTCAGCCTCTCCCTATAGCAGGGAGATCAGAAATGAACGCAGTATTCCAAAAGTGACTAAGCAATGTCCTCTACCGCCGCAACATGACCTCCCAACTCCTATTCTCAATGCACTGCCCATAAAGGCAAGCATACCAAATGCGGCCTTCCCTATCTTATCTACCCGGGACTCCACTTTCAAGGAGCTACTAACCTGCACCCCAAGGTCTGTTTGTTCAGCAACACTCCACAGGATCTTACCATTAAATGTATAACTCCTGCCCAATTTGCCCCTTCAAAATGCAGCACCTCACATTTATCTAAATTAAATTCCATCTGCCACTCTTCAGCCCATTGGCCCATCTGGTCATGATCCTGTTGTATTCTGAGGTAACCTTCTTCACTGTCCACTACATTCAATTTTGGTGTCATCTGCAAACTTACTAACCATACCTCCTATGTTCACATTCAAATCAGTTATAAAAATGACAAGGTGTACTGAGCACTGATCCTTGTGGCACACTACTAGTCACTAGTCTCCAATCTGGAAAAATAACCCTCCACCACCACCCTTTGTCCTCTTCCTTTGAACCAGTTCTGTATCTAAATGGGTAGTTCTCCCTGTATTCCATGTGATATAACTTTGCTAACCAGTCTGCCATGAGGAACCTTTGTCAAACGCCTTACTTCAGACTTGACTATTCTCAAATGCTCCTAACTGATTTTTCTACCATCCATAAACTTAGTGATCCAAAACTCTGCCATTGTCCGGAGTTGCACCAAGTTCCATTTGTGCATCACCCCTGTGCTTGCTTGACCTACATTGGTTCCAGTTTAGCAGTGCCTTGATTTTAAAGTTCCCAGCCTTGATTTTAAAGTTCCCAGCCTT